TCTTATATAGACTTGCCTAACGATTGAATACATTTTAACAAATAAAAAGAAAAAAAAAATAAATTTTAATGTTTTTGAATGCATTTCTGTTAAACTTGTAAAACAGAACGATTTCTTTATTCGTGTGTTGATTTTTTTGCGAAATACTCTAAAAGGCAATAAATGGAAATTCTATATTTTTGCAAAGGAGTTTAAAGTAGCTACTTTATTCAATCCAAGTAAATAATGCTCTGTTTTGATGTCAGCCATCACATTAGATGAAATTATACAGTGAGACTTGCATTTGTTTCAAGTTCATATATTGTCGATATTGTTATGGTTCTCCCCCTTTGAACTTATTTTTGAGTTTCGTTTTTTTTCAGTTATGTCATTCTGTTTTGTTGGTAATTGGCCTATTTTCCATTTTGTGTTATATTTAAGCTATGCTGCAGTTTTGTTACTCTCTGTTGCCCCCTTGTGCCTGTGTCCTTTCCCCTAGCTCCCTTCTAGTTGCTTCTATCCACACCTGCTCCATATCAGCTGATTAGCCCATTCTTTATTGATTAGAGGCTTATGATTATAACCATTTTAAGACAGAAAGTTACAGGAGACCCTTCCTGCCCACAGCAATCAGTATAAACAGCAGCTCTGTGAAGAATCCTGTATAATATGTTTAATATGTGTAACAAAAACATTTATTTTATTGAGACATTTTTTTTCTTTAATATTTAAATAAAAATAAAATGTAAGTATCTTTCATTTTACGGAACAAAGACAATTAAAAACATCAAGTTCCTTTTATGAAAATATGCACAGCTTACAACATTAATGAGAGTTTTGCTTTAAATAGAAGAGGGAAATATTTATATGTACTGATTCCAGTATTTTGTCGCCACAACATCCTCCTCAATTTATGACTAAGAAAAACAGGTAATACAGAGGAGTTCACCCATGTGTCAAGTGCATGCATTAAAGGAAGAATAGTAATAACTGCAGGAACGCTCTCATTTCAAAAGCAGATTTCTTACTAATGCTCAAGTTGGCCACTAGATGTCCCCCTTAATTTAGATTCTACTGTACCTCTGCTTCCGCAGCTTTCCCCCCGTCATATTCCGTTTCACAATGTCAGTAAGCAAGGGAAGCCTTGAATTCAAGTTTGAACAAAATTAAATGAGGCTTTGACATTTTCAAGCACCTGCTTACTCCATATGCCATCTTACTTTAATTGTCTTATCATTAAAATAAACATACTCTTTAAAACCTGGACTTTAAACACAATTAGATACAATTCTGTCATGGTCAAAAATCAAGCATAATAAATGTAAAATTAGCCCTGTAAAGCTTTGAGATCAGACACTAAGTCATTTTTCTTATCTTTTATTTCCCCCATTCCCAGACAGTTTTCATATTTTTTGTCCAATTTTATTTCCACTTTGTTCATTTGTATCTCAATGAAAAAACTGCAAATTGAGTGAAATGTAGAGAATGAGGAGGCTGCAGCCTTGGTTATAGAAATGTTAATGATGATAATAAAAGCTGCCTTAAAAAGCAAACTATAAGCTTATTATGAATTAATAACCAAGTCTCCTTAGTTTTTATTTTATATTAAATCATGAAGTAAACAACATCAAATCATCTGTATGATATTTGGAGTTTTTAAGTTTAAGCATATTTGTAACAGACACCTTCCTTCATACATATTTATGGTTTAGGGCATCTCTCCAAAACAGATTATTTGGACTGCATCATGTGCATTTTTTTTAGTACTGTACTTAATAAAAATGGGTGTCATATGTTTAATTTAGGAAACAGACCATTTCTTTGCACTTGTTAAATTACTCTACTGGTGATTTACCTAAGTAATAATAATATGTTTGTATTTTCCGGATGTTCTCCTGTGTATACAAATGTGTGTGTTTGTGTGTGTTGTCAAGGAGGCAAAGCTATGTGTGTGCTTGTAGCTTTGTTTACTCAACCCTGTGGGCTTCTGGGTTTTGTCAACAGTCAGCAGGTCAGAAGTCATACGTTTCATGCAGTGTGTTTGGACAGAAACAAGTTGGCAGAAGTGCAAATGCTTTAATGCTGTACCGAAACTTACAAACCTTGACATTTCCAGCTGGCATTTATTGGTACATGAAACAAGCATTTTGGTGGAGATTCCTCCCAGACAAGTTATGAACATTCAAACATCATCCTAGTGGGACATAAGGAGGACATATTAAGGCTTCTTTTAATAGCAGACTTAGATGGTAAAAGTCCAAAGTTACTCAAATAAAATGTGCAACAATCTTTTTTTAATAACTGTAAATACCTCCACTACTTTTTGGACCATATCTTGATTCATTTTTCAGTATTAGTCCTTTGGAAACGTTTTTTTTTCTTTTTTTTATGGACTCATTCCAAGGCGATAATTCCCCTCTCATGAACCATTATTCATTTATTTCTTTTATTTATGCTTGGGCTACTGGTGAAGCTAGAAGAAAATGGAAATGTCTTACAGAGGCATTTGATAGCTGGATAATTTTGAACTTAATATAATGCGTTTTTATACAAAAGTAAAACAAATTATTTATTTTGATTATCAATAAAAACATAATCCAGTATGATATTCTGTTATGATTTCAATGCAGAATATCGCATTTGTGATTTAAGGGATTTCACAAGCTCCAAGCTTTTCCTAAATAATAATAATAATAATAAACATCTTACTGTTGAGTAGGCCAATAGTCAGTTTTGAAGGCCATAACACATTTTAATGGCATCATGCATATTAAAAAACATTTAAAAGAACTTGTACCAAACAGCTTGCAAAACATGACTGTATCTCAATCTCTAAAATTTTTATGACACTTTAAATGGTATCTAATTTGTCGCAGAAAGTTACATGTTATTTTCATATTCCTTTTCGCTTCTTGGCAATATTCCATACCAGTTCTTTGAATGTATTTAATTACTTGTTTGATGGCGGTACAGTTTATGTGTACTATGATGGGTGGCTCCTGGCAGGGGCCAGTAGGGGCCAATGCCCTGTTGTAATCATTCGTGTCCCCTTTTATGGCCCGTGTAGCAAAGACATATTGCAAAATAAATGTACTATAAATAAACTATGATACGTATGTCCTCAAACAGAAACAACAGGTTCATTGGATCAATTACATTTTTTATATTTATAGCTTTATTTTATTTTATTTCTGCTTCAATCATTTAGAGATATGATCATAGCTTTCATCTGCCAACAGTTCTAACAGGAAGATTACTCTATGTTAATTTAAGTGCTCTTATAGGGAGAGGGGGTATGACATTTTTTTTTTTACTTCTTTATACCCCTTTTCAGACAATTTACATTAATCAATGTTGTTTCTCTGGCTGTATGTACCCACAGGTTTATTTGTGGATGGTTTGGTTTCTATTTATATTCAGGTGAATTTAGTTAGTTTGGAAATTGGTGTTTGGTTTGGTTGATGTTAACTAGTCTTTTTTTGTGTGTATTTGGTTTATTTATTGTTGTTTATCAAATTGTCTGTCTGAAATAAATTCCAATTAATTCGTTCTTAGGTCTCAAGGGCTGCAAATGGCTCTTTGGTTCACTTAATATTTTAAACAAGGAACTTTTGCTAATTATTTTAACGGTTTTTGTCACATTGGGTTATTGTGTGTGGACCTCTAAAGAACGTTTCAATGGAAAAAAGACTGAAAAATGAATACATAAATAAAGAAGCCCAGGGCTGTTAATGCTTCTTCATCTATTCCCCACACTTGTCTTTGTTTTTCTACATTTGTACATAGTATGTTTAAAGACTTAAATACAGGTCCAATGCTACTTTCTCCAGATCAACAATATATCAAATATGAACAAGGAAACTGCATGTTTCTTTAAAAAAAAAGAAAAATTCCTCATGTATTGCCCAGATCAGATACAAAGAATGTCTTCAGTACTCATTTCTGCACTTTGTGCCTCCATTAAAAGAATATAAACATTTGATCTAAAACCATAATTTTGTACTGCAACAGCCTTGAAATAAAAAAAGTGGAAAAACTTCAACATATTTATTTAAGTCCATTTACCAAAACTTGTTGCATGATATTCTTCACTAAGTATTTAGACAATTTGTTGTTTAATAACCTTTTCCAATCTTTTTTTCTTCTATCTAGTTTCATAATTAGGGCTCTTCTACCATTATATCCCCAGCTCTTCTCCCACCCTCTCACCCTCAGCCTCTCTGGCCGTCCCTCCCTGACGCCGCTCCCTATGTCTCCTCCTCCTCCTTATGCGCTCCCCCTCATTCCAACAACCTGATCGCTCCTAACAATAAGGTAAAGCCCCCGTCTGCATGCCAAAACCTCCGAACTGTCTCCGTCCATCCCAAAACTGCTTTTATCATTCCTCACACAACCAGTGTTTGTTGTTGTTGTTGATTTTTCCTCTTCTTCCTTGTTCCCTCCTCTGGGAGTCCGGAAGATTCCACATCTTCCCACCGCACTGAGCTACCACACCTGTCTGAGGCATCGCATTGGCTCATCCACCTCACCGATGGCAAATCAATTCGCATCGTGGTCAAAGCGCACAATCTACAGAGAACTACATTTTCATTTAGAGAAATCCCCCCAAAGGATGGGAGGTTGATCATTGCGGCATGCTCTCATAACAAAAGAAAAAGCAACACATACAATCCCCTCACGCCAAACACGTGCGGCTCCGCATCATTATGATGATGGGGCCGCAAAATGACCGGAATCGCATACATTCATTGTGTCATGTTTATATTATTATTCCATTTTGTAAACACATGAGATTTTTTTTTTTTGTATTAATGAAAGAGAGCACTCTAATTACTGCAGATTGATGATGCAACTTCAGACCATTTCTCATGATTATTAAGAACTTAAAGGTTCACACATGCGCGAAATGATGCATACACAATCTGGGGGCCCCTGACCGGTTTGTGCAGTTGGACAGAGAGCCCTCACATGTTGCTGCCCCCGGCTTGTTTGGATAAGAGAAGAAAAGGGAGGGGTTTAAAGGAGGAGGCTTTCTTTAGGCGCTTGACGTTGACCGTGGAGGGACCTAGGACCAAGGTGATGCAACTTCCAACTTCATTTACCGGTGGGAAGAAATAAGTCGGGGGGGCTTGAAGTGAAGTGAAGGGCGCGCCGCACCTCCACGCGCAGATAACGCCTCCTTAATGAGGGAGAGAGGAAGGGTAGGTTGGGTTTCAGCTCTGATATTTGTAGCTCTGTGGGTCAATTAGCGGGGAGTTAGGAGCCATAACCATAATGAACTGATCTGAAAGGACCTGATTGTGTTTCATTTTGGGGGGGTTGGGGATATATTTTGACTTAACTTGCATAAATGTATAAGGCTCACTTGTAGGAGGGAACACGTGGCAGTGAGATCCCATTCATTATTACTATTCATTACACAGAACGCCAGGGACGCTGTGGGGAGGGGGATTTGTAGTGGGGGAGGGGCATCATGTTTTTTTTTTTTCCTGTACTGCCAACCCCTATATTTAACAGTGGATGCTCTATTATTCTCTATTATTAACCACTGATCATACATAATGTAATCAGTATGATCAACAATTAATAAGAGAAAAAGATGTGTCTTTTTTACATTATACAGACTCTTGCCCCTTGTTATGTCTAAGCACAAGTTTTGTTTATTGTTATTCCACTAGAAAATCCCTCATTCTTGATCTAATAGATTCAAAGAGGTGTCCGAAACTCCAATTTTAATGATTTGAACTGATGGATTTTTTTTTTTTATGGATTTGTATATTGTGGTTGTATATGGTGGAATATGGTCAGCTACAATACTACCAGAGGCTGTGTTTGTTATTATTGTTAACAATGTACAATTGGGACTAAATATCCCTGCTTTAAATATGTCAGGAAAGTATTCCTCACACAGTTATAACACTATTCGCTTTATTTTGTTGATATGATTTTGTCAAAACCCTGACCTACCGGCACTACTCAGCAGACCAGGTATCATTTTACATTTCTCTTATTGTCTGATTTTAATGGGCATAGGCTAACTGTTGCCAAAGTTGTCAACAACAACTACAAATAACAGATAACAAAGTACAAATTCTTCATTACTGTACTTAAGTACACTTTTAAGGTATCTGTACTTTACTCCACTATCTATTTTTCTTCCTACTTCTGACTTCTACTCATTTCATTTTCACACAAGTATCTGTACTTTCTATTCCTTACATTTTGAAAACTAATTTTACTCGTTACTTTTGGCTTCGGTTTAATTTTTATAAATATTTATTTCACGTCATGTGCGCCATTTAATGCAGATCATTGGTGCCATCCACATCTAGTGAAAACTAGTGTCATTGGAAGACTCATATAAGGCAAACACTCATTGGTTAGCTAAAGGAAATCATCAGAAGCAAGCAGGTGTTCTTGAAACTGCAAACGCAAATTGTCTATGCAATGCTACAATGTTGGATTCAGAAAAAGATGTTGAAATGTCTGAAAGGTCGGACACAGGCAAGAGCGTATCGGCAGATGGAGACATAGACCAACAAGACCTCCCTCATCCTATGCCCCTTGGCCCTATCTCAAAGAATTTTTCAAAATAGTCGAAAATTGAGCTTTCAATTCATATAGTGGCATCTGGCTGTTTTTTTTTTAAGGTTACTTTATACTTTAAGTAGTTTCTGGAGCGCTTACTTTTTCACTTTTACATGAGTAAAGAGGTCAAGTTGATGCTTCAACTTTTACCAGAATGCTTATAAACTGCTGTACCTATACTTCTACTTAAGTTACAAATGTGTGTACTTTTGACAGCAATGATTGTGCCTTAGTTTTCTGTTCTCAGCTAGGTCTGGCATTTTACTGTTGATGCCCCTCTGCTTTAAGGTTAAATGTTTTGTTCATTCAGAAAAGAAAAGCAGCATATGTTAGTTGTAAAAAGGACTTTTTTCGGCCTTGGTGTCCTCTCTCCTTTGACATAAAGGGACTTTTGTCCATATATACGAGCTGCACCCATCAGCACCAACAAAGACACCCTGTAAAAAGTAATATCTGACAGTCAAACTGGAACCAAGCATGATAGTGACAATGATGAGGGATGATTTAGAATTCAGCAGCACAGACATTATAAATGCCCTGGCAATATGTAGGCTCACCCTTACTTTGACCATATTGACAATATAAAGATGAGATTGTGACCTGACATTTGAACTTGGCTGACCATCTTAGGTGTTTTTTTTTTGTTGTTGTCTAGATTTTAAAGCCACTGAACTTCTTCAATGTTATTGACTAATCTGCTACATGTGTTAAAAGAAACAAAGCTGGTTTGCCAAATAAATATAGTCAGGATTTTTAGATATAAACAAAGCAAAAAAAAAAAAAAAATAAACTTCGAAATTGAATATAGGAAAACGTGTTTCTAGTTCAGGACACAAAACACAGGTTACATACCTTTATAATTAATAGATCAAAACTAAAATAAAACAAAAAACTCAGTAAAAGCTATTTTGTCAGCTCTTGACAGGATCAATTTGAAGTGTCTAAAAAAATAGATCTGACAAGTCAGTGGTGAGTTAATTGGTCACCTAAGGTGGTACATTTTAGGAATAAAGGTTGGAAATGTGTCATCCAGTCAAATAAGAGAGGCATTGAAGCTCAGGTTGTTGAGAAGATTTATAAGAATTTAAAATAATTCAAGGTGAGGAAAATACAACAGTTATTAGTAAATTAATTCCAAATAACACAGTGTGATAATGCTTGGTTTTTGTTTTTTTTATTCCTGCAACATCGAATGGGTTGCTAGTCTAACTGGAAAAGTAGGTTATGTCAACAGAAATGGTGCATGCATGAATAGCATAAACCCCAGTATAGACTTAGCTTTATGTGTTACTGCAAACAGAAGGGCCTTTATTTTATCTGGCCCTGAGGGTTAGGCCACCTTTTTTGACCTCCCTTAAGTGTCTCTAAAGCTTTTAAAATAAAAAGACAAGATGTTACCTGGAATATACATAAAGAATTTTTCAAATAGATATTGGTAGATTGATTTTTGGTTATTTACAAACTTGAATTTACCTGCCATCAACACAGTGGAACTTAAAGGCCAGAGGGAGTTTAGGTTGATGCTTTATTTTTTGTTTTTGTTTAGCTTTTCTATTTTCCTGAAAGTGGTCAGGATTAGTTGATGTTATTGAAACTATTTTCCCATGACATGGATCAGGACAGTTTTCACAGAGTGGCTCTCAGTTATGTCAGTGTTGTTTTAGCTGAGAGTTTGTCCAGACATGTCTGGACGTCTGGAATTCTCAAACGTGGCATTGAAGCATCAGAAGGGGGGCGGATGGAGGACACGTGGGCAGAGCTAAACAAAACAAATAAAAATGACTAAAACGGCATGTATCAGTGGTGTAAATAGACAGTGGGGTTTTGATTGTTTACATCCAATAGGAAACTTCCAATAGGAAGTTTCTCTGATGTTACATCAAACTGATGGTGCTGCTACATGTAAAAAAAAAAATATAATAAGATGTGGAGAAAAAAAAGTTTAGAACAGATTGCATGTTGTCTCCAGCCACCACTAGAGGGCAACAACGTACAGCCCAGCCTTCCTATGTTGTAAACTCTGGACTGCAATAGCTCAAGGATGCTTTAGTCTTACAGTACATATCAGTGCTTTCTTGTCAAAGTGCAGAAATGAGTACTGAAGACATTCTTTGTATCTGATCTGGGCCATACATGAGGAATAATATAGGATGTAGAAAGAGCTAAAAAAAAAATACAAGATGTAGAAGAAGCCAAAAATGATATTAATATCCAAGGTCATATCTGTCATTTTTTACTATTTTTCATCACTACATGATTTTTAACTTGTAAGTTGATTTGTAAGTTATACGTTCATTTATACCATACAGAGGACATTTCAACCTAGAGAGACTAACACAAAGAAAAGTTGCAGTTAGAAAGATTTTTCTTAACATCAGTTAAAATTTGATCTATTTTTACGTATATATATATATATATATATATATATATATATATATATATATATATATATATATATATATATATATATATATATATATATATATATATATATATATATATATATATATTTCTTTTTTTTAGTTTCCTTGCTCATATTTGATATATTTGTTGATCTGGAGAAAGTAGCATTGAACTTGTATTTAAGTCTTTAAACGTACAATGTACAAACCGACAAAAACAAAGACAAGTGTGGGGAATAGATGGCATTCCAAGTATAAGATACAAGCATCCAGAATTATTAACAGCCCTGGGCTTCTTTATTTATGTTTATTTTTCAGTCTTTTTTTCCTATGAAACTTTCTTTAGAGGTCCACACACAATAACCCAATGTGACAATACTGAAAACGTTTTGTTGAAAAAAATCACATTTATTCAAGTATTCAAAGCCTTTGCTTCATTTTTTTGCTTGTCCACCTCTGCTGGAAATTTCAGTCTCAGTTTTTATCGAATAAGGTGACACAAGCTTAACACACCTAAATTAAAACAGTTTGCCCCATTCATCCCAAGTTTCATCAAGCTTGTGGACAGATGGGAGTCTGGCTCTGTGACTCCAGGACATTGACAGAGTGGTTCTGAAGCCACTCCGTTGAGCTTGTGGCTTTGTGCTTTGGGTTGACCAGTCGGAGCTCAGGAGCACTCTGGAGCAGGTTTTCATCCAGGATGTCTTCCGTAAAAACATCCCCATAGCATGATGTTGCCACCACCATGCTTCACTGAACGGATGATTTTGGCCCATTGGCATGTAGTACCTGGTTTCCTCCAAACATAATGCCTCACATTAACTCTAAAAAAAATCCAATCTCCACACTGATATTTTCTTTTAACCATGGAACCTAATATTGCGCAGACAGATTTCATTTCCTAATCATGTCCAATCAGCTGAATTTATCAGAAGTGGAAACCATTAAAGTTTTAAAAGATCTCTGTGATCTGTGAAAAGAGAATGCAAACAATTATTATTATGGTAAAGACTTTCAGAATATTTTTGTAAATGTGATTTCTTAGTTTTCTATTTTAATTAAATTAGCAAAAATTTCTGAAGCCATTTTTTTCACATTGAAATTATTCAGTATTGTGAGTAGAAATGTGAAGAAAGCGATTAAATTATTGCCATTTTGATTAAAACAGACACTGCAGCTGTGTTCTTACCTTTCTGATGGAATAATAATAA